CTACGTAACTTAATGATGGTAAGCGTGAGGTTTGTAGGATCCATCATCATACAATGATTCACTGTAGTCATGTACATATTGGCCTTCATGCCCATTGTTATCTATATTAACGTGAGCAACAAGTGGAGCAGTGTAGGATACAAGTGGCACAGCATGAGCTACAATTGGAGCTGCTGGAACAACGGAGGCGTGAGCTACAACTGGAGCGGCATAAGCATTTTTTCCTGTAGCAATGGTTCCGGAGGGTCCAGCTACCACAACACTGTCATGCTCATAAGCAGAAGAATGGGCTACAACAGTAGATGCAGCAGAGTGAGCAACAACTAGTGCAGCTTTAGCTACAATTGGAGCAGCATGAGCTACAACTGGAACAGCATGAGCTACGATGGGTGAGGCAGCAGCCACGAATCCTGGTCGCTCTTCGTGCACAATTTGACCTCCTGGGGCATAAGTAGAAATTGCACTACCTTCGGGGCCTACTAGGGTGGTTTTGCTGTTAGGTCCTTGCAAAATATGGGCTGAGGGACCAACAAGTACGCCTGCATTGCAAGCAACTACGCAAGCAAAGACTGCAACGACAACCTAAACAATAATTTTAAAAAAATAATAATTTAATCATTCATATAAAACACCCATCTATTTACTATATCAATATATACTTACAAAGGAGTTCATGGTTGTGTATTTGATTTTAGATATTGATCAAATGATACTGTTGCTTATCGAGTCAAATATTTTATACAAGAATCAATAACCTTGTTAGACTGCCAATTATTTCCTTAGTCTAACAAATAGGGAAATAATTTTGTACTTGAATCTATCGAAAGATTTAAATCATGTTTTGGGAGTGTAATTTTATTATTTGGAATTAACAAAATTATATACATACAACTAAAAAAAATATAAATTTGAAATGAGGAAGAAATAAGAACATAATTTTATCTAATTAAATAATTGAATCAATATAATTTGTAGCTTTTATATATTTACGTCGCATAAAAAATATAAATTGTTTAATAATTCGGACATTTTATATACAAAGTTATCAAAAAGTTTTACGACGAAGTATTATGAAAGGATAACAATACTTTTAGGTGTCCCAACTGTTGGGTGTCCCAACCGTTGGGTGTCCCAACCATGAAAGTTGGTGATCATAAGCTACTTTGCGATGATCCTATAAGTTCTATATTTTTATTTATATTTAGTGAGCAAGTGGATCTCAAAATTTAACTAATGAACACATTATTTCTAAAATACAATATTTTGTAATAGAAAATATTGATCTAAATTAATCCATTCTCTTCAGTCCTTCACTTTACGTGAGAGTATGGTGACATCATGTGTTGATTCCCCTCACTTCCTCGGACCACCAAGTTGTTCGACACTGCGCCATATGTGAAGCTTCGGGGAGGCTGTGGCCATAAAGTAACTAAAATAAAAGAGTGTTTGAAAGGTTGTCTAACTTGGCCATAATGTTGCATAGTTCAGTTAGGGCTCCAAAGCGTCGCCACCTGCTACCTGTCACGTGTCATTACAAGAATGACAAGTGACATGACAGCAAATTGTTTGTATTTTGCAATTGTTTACAATTTTGTTTTGAATTTTGGAATTTTGTTATTATTTTGTGTAGCATAAACTTTGTTTGTTTGTGTTGTGTTTGTGCGTACAGAAATTATGGACGAAGTTTTATTTCCCGAGGAACCAGAGACCTTATATTTCTCTATGATTTGAACTTTATATTTTGTGCTGTGTTTTGCAATTGTTTACAATTTTGTTTTGAATTTTGGAATTTTGTTATTATTTTGTGTAGCATAAACTTTGTTTGTTTGTGTTGTGTTTGTGCGTACAGAAATTATGGACGAAGTTTTATTTCCCGAGGAACCAGAGACCTTATATTTCTCTATGATTTGAACTTTATATTTTGTGCTGTGTTTTGCCGTCATCATGTAATATTTTGTTCAGCCGATGATGTGATTTGAACACGATCCAGGAAAGGGTATCATGCAAAGCAAGTTCGATATGTAAAGACATTGCCCATCTCTGAACTCTGTGAACGTAAAACGAACTGACTATAAATTTGCGCCTTCATTTAATAGTGTTGAACATTTGCTACCTCAACTGAGCTTCAACTGCTGACTGCTGAGTTTATAAATCCAACTTAAAGGTGAATTAATTTTTGATGATGTCTTATTTAAATCTTTATCTGTTATAATAGCATAGATTGCAAACCCTGCGATCTTATATGCTTTGTTAGTGGCGTTGTTAAATACGTTTTATAATACTATAGGTAAATCGAAGGGTAAACCGCTGGTGTATTTCGGTGGTGTACAAGATGTTGGCATTTTCGTGGCATTATTGGTATTAGTACTAAATTATTTGGCATTACTTTGGCATTAGTGTACAGAAATTCGTCAGGAGTTTACCCCTCGAAGTTAATTCAGCATATATGTTTTATATTATCAAATTTAATTTAGCATTTAACTGTAAGCATTTGAAAAGTGTACAATAGTTTATACTTTTCAAATATTCCGTTTTTAAAAATAAACTTTCATTATAATTTTGCAGTTTTAATTTCGTAATATTTTTAAAAATACATAAAATTTTATATTCACATTTAAACAGCCCGCCTTTTTTGTGGTAGGCAATGCAGATACCTATTTTACCGATAAGGTCTGTCATATTTCGATTAGTTCAGTTAGGGCTCAAGGGTGCGCTACAATCGATCCTCGTTAAACGTGTTGCCTACTTTTGACTATGGAAATGACAACTCTTTTATTTTATATTTCTCTATGGCTGTGGCCCACTAGGGTTTTGACTTGGTCTACCCACCTCTTAGGTGACCTTCCTCGTGATCGTCTTCCCTCGACCTTCCCCTCAACCATCAGTCTCTCAATTGAGGTGCCACTCCCGGCAATATGGCCAAAATATCGGAGGATTGACTGATTTAATCTGGTAACCAGACGTGTCTCAATTTTTAGTTCCTCAGACACAGTGGCGTAGCAAGGCGGGGGCGGAGGGGGCGGGCCGCCCCGGGCGGCTACACTCCAAGTACCTACGGGGCGCCAAAAATTGTTATAAAGGCGGCGGACGGATTCTGTAGGGGCGGCAAACCTCTCTCCTAGAGGCTCTTCGCCCCGGGCGCCTCTAACCTAGGCTACGCCACTGATTAGACACTTCTCAGTTCCTCTATCTACATTAGACACACAAAAATAGAATTTCTTATTTTTTGCTGCATTGATTGCATTGATGCAATACCAGTTAGCTACCGATGAACTTAGCACTTAAGTAATCTAAATATGTATTTGAGATATAAATAAGACCTTAAAGCTTTTATTTAAATCAATTGATCTAAAAAAAAGAAATATTATACAGGGTGGTTAGGCCTCTCATACGCCGCGGAAGCTCCAAGGAGAACTATAATTTATATCGAAATGAAATTTTGGCAGCATATGTAGGTTAACTGAAAGCATTTTATAAAAATATATAGAACTATACAGGGTGTCCCTAAAAAAGTTGCACATCAAAGTTGTGTTTTTTCTAATAGAAACACCTTATCTATATATTAATTGAATTTCGCATTCTAGGAAAAAAATAAAGGTAAGTTTTATTAAAGAAGCATATAACTAAAATCTAAGGATTTTGACATATTTCACATTTTGTGAAAATGAAGAGTAAATTTTAAATTTCGATAACTACCTAAATTTTAGTTGACCTTGTATAGCCTGATATTTAATTACAGTAATCATTGTATGCTAAACAAAATTGAAATTTGATCCGAAAAATTATATAGGGTGATACAAAATTAATATGGAACATTAATAACTTTTAAAATCAAGTTACTCCTTTATTTTAAATGGTATAACACCCATAATAACACCCAGTAGACCTAGTATTTTTTCGGTTTTCAATAAGGAATTTATATATCTTCAAAATATTATTAAGGTTGCCTCCCTCAGACAAAGATTTTCCTAGATATTTTAATTTTTATGATTTTGTGTCAGTATATCTTTATTATTTGAAAAAATCTGTGGGCTGTGTGATATACCTTTTGTTAATTTAACAAAAATTATAATTGTTGAGTAAAATACTCAACGCAAAAGATACACATTTAAAACATATTTTAATTAATACAAAATTAAAACTAGATATAAACCTATAACTATGTAACAAAAATTAGCTTGATGAAATCAAATACTCAAAATGCTTCCTTTCCTGTTAACTGCATAAAACGATTGTCTTTTCAAAAGGGTATTTTCATTTTAAAAGGCATATATAGAGTTCTACCTCGAGAAACAGCTACAATAATTTCTCTCATGTTGTCGACAATAGTTGATCGAGTTTTTTAAACACTGTTTTAAACATATCCCCATAAAAAAAACAGACTAGATAAAATCAGGAGCATTTAAGTATTCTATTAATTGGTGAATGCACACTGCATTCAATAATTTGCCGTTTTTCAAGTCCAAAATAACCAAGTCTAAAATAACCGAGATATTTTATGTTAAAAATTTCAATTGATTTCAATCGATCTTTTCTGGGTTTTCTTTCGTGTAAATTTAATCTACTCATTTAATCTACTCATTTAATCTATCATGAAGATTTTATGTTGTATGATTCTGGAGGCGAAAAATACTACCCCTAAAAATATTTGCACTTATTTAAGACTCATCCTGTATAATTACTTGCAAAGTTTTATTTTTAAATCTTTTTATATTTGCAACATTACTTTCTTTCATTTTTTGCAAATAGTTTTAAATGTTTTAATAAAAGCGTAATTAAAGGAGACGTCTAAGTCTCTCACCTCTATAAGGACGGTTTAATGAACCCTTCAAAAAAAAATATAGAAAACTATTAAATCAGTTATTGATACGTTTTTTTACTATGAATAGTAATATTGTACTGCGTTAACCCGGATTTTAAGATCAATCTGGAGGGCAAGGTCGTCATTTTAACTATAAAAGAATCAAACCGCAAACTGTAGGTATCAATTGATCGTTTACACATAACGAACAAGTAGCCATGAATTCCTTTGTAAGTATTACTTCTATGATTTTTTTTAGAAATGTTTTTAACAGAAGATTTTTTAAGTGAATAATACTTATTTATTAATTAAAAAATATAGTTGACAATTGACAATTAATTTTATTATTTATTACTTTTACTATCTTTTTAAATTTACTACTAAGTACTTAAAATTTACTATTATTTTTATGAATTTTTTAATTTGCATATGTAAACTTTTTAAAATTTCAAGGAAATAAAGGAATGAAATATCAAAACATAAATAAGTTAAGATCTGCTTTTAATATTCATGAAAGCTATTTTTCTTTTAAAAATTAAATATAAAAGTCCATTATAAACTTCTAGATATAATTTTTCTATTTTATAACGTAAAACATAATAAATTCAATACATGTTTATTATCGTTAGGCTGTCGTTGCTTTCTTTGCCTGCGTGGCCGCCTGCAGTGCCGGTTTGGTAGGTCCATCCGCCCACATCCTGCAAGGACCCAGCAGCAAAACCACCCTCGTAGGGCCTGAAGGTAGTGTAATCTCCGCTCATGCCCCAGGAGGTCAAATCGTACACGAAGAGCACCCAGGATTCGTAGCTCACGCCGCACCAGTTCTTGCACACGCTGCTCCAGTTGTAGCTCACGCCGCCCCTGTAGTCTACTCTTCCCCTGTAGTAGCTCACGCTGCTCCAGTAGTAGCTCACGCCGCTCCAGCTCACTCTACCGTTGTTGCTCACTCCTCAGCCTACAAACACGATAGTGTTGTCGTAGCTGGACCCTCCGGAACCATCTCCACTGGACACGGAGCTCATGCCGTTCCCGCCGTAGCTTACGCTGCTCCAGTTGTAGCTCACGCTGCTCCAGTTGTAGCTTACTCTGCTCCAGTTGTAGCCCATTACGATGTTGACAACAACGGTTACGAAGGCCAATACGTACATGACCACAGCGAAACTTTGTACGATGATGGATCTTACAAACCTCATCATTATCATTATTAGGGAGGATTTGAAAAAAATAATTTAAGTGAGATTGTGTCATCACTAACTGAATACTGTATATAATCAGTCTATTTGTATATATTATTTATATGTACGTAGCAGTGTATTTTTTCAAATTCAGTCTTCCGAGTCCACAATCAAGTATTATAAGAATCTATTTAATTATTGTACCTATCAAAAATGCCAAAAATGAATAATAAACAATTATATTGTATTGAAATTCTTTGTATTTCTTAACTATATTATCATAGACTTTACAGTTTGCCTACAGAAAATCATATCTAACTTTAGCAAATTTATTGTAAAATATTTATTAGCTTCATGCATGATAAAAGAACTATATTATTAATTTTATTAAATTTGTCTTTATAAGAAGAAAATATTTTGAGTGGTAAACATAAAGTCAAGCTTTTTTAAAACTTAATTTAAATGTTTGATGCCAAGCTTTCATAAAAGCTTAGTTTTGTTTAATTATTTTCACAGCATTCTTTGTGATATCATTGAATGACTTTGTTTATTATATAAATTATATTGGTTATTATATCCAAATCAAAATTTATACGAAGTAATTAAAGAAAAGTAATTTAAAAATGCCGAATATTGACAAACAAAAAATAGTATTATAAAAGTGTGAAAGAATCTAATTTAGTATTTTTGAATAACTAAATGAGGCATATATGAACCGTCATCATAGAATACATTACTGTAATGATGTAAATCATCTCCTACATGTTTAGGAGTTATTATAGGTGAATTCTTGTAGTTTCCATGCCGGGCATTTCTGAAGTCTTTAAGATACTGCGGATTCCCCATATAATGTGAACCATAATTTGATAATATTGAACCATAATCAGGTACTTTATCTGTATATACTGAAGCTTCATCTTCTATTATGCGATTTTTTGTCAACAATTTGCTATAAATGCTATCATCACTACTCGTATCTTGTATCACTTCAGTAGAAGAAGAAATTAAGGCACCATTTATATCAGAACAACACATCAATAATATCTAAAAATGATTTAAATATAAAACGAAAGTTAATTTTATTAAATCACTTTACTCACTATAAAGTACATGATGTTTCAAGTTTAATGGTTTTTATGTTTTAAAATACAATTGAAAGATGTCGGGATTTTTATATATGTACCTTAGACCTTAACCTTGTCTTCACAATGATTATATTACATAATACCGTAGCTGCTATTGTTAATTAACAATCACATTAAAACATTCTGCCAGATTGGTTAAACAAATATAATTACTTATTGTTTTTTTAATAGTTCTTAGGAGATCTTCGGGGGGGAATTGGAGAAATAAAATAAAATATCTCCAAAAAATCCTCTATGTGTATTTCGCCACTGCAAGAAAATCTATCAAATAAAATAGTTATTTTTTATAAACACTTCTGCATTTATCCAAACGGAAACTACTTGTCAGAAGTTAGGTTTACAGATATACAAATTTGCCTAACAAACAAAAAAATGCTTAACGTTTCGGAAAGTTTATCTCTTTCGGTCGTCGGAAGCAAAAAAAAATACAAAGAATAAAAAAAAACTGTTTAAAATATTTAAATTCAACTATTCGAAAACACTTTAATTTTTTAAAACAGATACGTCTACAAAAATCGTTGACGTTCTGTTCAGGTATGATTCCGAAGGCGGCGACAGCGACAAGCGACCGGGACATACGACAACGACAGGCGACAGTGTCGCTTATCGCTGTCGTCATTCATTGTCGATGTCGGCGACAATATGAGCGAGATCTACGATGGAGTTGTCAGTGTTTAAATGACGTTCGCGAAGTAGTTATAATAATTAATAAATGTCTGATTACGTGATTGATAAAAATGTGTTACTTGAATTACTGATGGAAGATGATGAAGGGGACGAAATATTATTGTTACTTGTTGGAAAGAAAAGAAGAAAACCCATTTTTGCCTCTGTTTAAAAACAGACCTCGGGAAAGAAGTTATTTCTTACTCATAAAAATTATCCTTAATCAAATTATTTTTATAATTTTCCAATTTTGTCAAAATTCTGGGTGTGCATATGAATGACGACACGACAGTACTGGACAAATACCGGTAGCGTCGTCGGTCGCTTAGACGACATGTTGGATAAAAACTGTCGCGCGACACCGGTCGTCGGATTCCGACGTTACTCCATTTGATTCTAAAAGATCGGAGGAGTCGCAACACAGTAACTACAGGTGTCGCTGTAGTCTGTCGCGGTTGCTTGTCGCTGTCGCCGTCTTCGGAATCATACCTTTAAAATGACATTATATCAAGTTAAACTTCAAAATTAACAATTACTACCTGATAATATACTCTATATATACTACCTGATTACAGCGATTGCCATACACCTACAGCGATTGCCATACATTACTAACATCTACAGATGCATGAGCATTAATGAGCAATACATTTACTTTTATCAGATTGCATTAAAAAAGCCTCTTTTAGAGGCTATCGCTTCTTTCATTATAATAAATGTATTGCTCATGCATCTGTAGATGTTAGTAATGTATGGCAATCGCTTCTTTGATTTTAAAGAACATAACATAAATAAACATAACATACGTAAAAATTAAAAATAATCATATATTATATCAATAAGAGACCTATAAATTTAATCGATTAAACTATTCAAATATATTTTGCGCGTGATTTTGCTTGGAAAATAGTTGAATGCACAATAATATTCTAAAATTATTGTTCATGAAACTATTTTCTAAAAAGCAAAATTATGCAAAAAATTATTCGGGTAGTTTAATCAATTAAATTTATAGGTTGAGTGATATACGGCTAGATGATTTCCTGAATGACTTAGAATGAATGACTTAGAATGAATGACTTAGGATGAAGCAAATAACTATAAGAATTTTATTAACTATAAAAAATTATATATTAATTATTTATTTCAAAATGACGTCTCGTAAGTAATGTTTGTGCTTCTGCTACCTTGGTTACGCATCCCAACAATGCATCCCAACATGACCGTTTCGCAAATAGAAGATTATTTTCTTTTATCTATGGTTTCGCATGTCAACATATCAAATTCTGACGTATTTTTCTCCACTTATTTGTTCAAAATAATATCGAATAAGGGGTTTTCACCGATTAAAATCATTATTAAGTCATACATATGAGTTGTAAATCAATGTTTTTAAATGAACTGTTGCCAAAATCTCTCAGAATTAGTGATAAACAACAAAAAGAAAACCCAAAAGGAAGCCGAAAAAATAATCGCGGTTAAACTGGTCTTGGGATTTAATCACTTATCTAAACAAAATTTATTCGAAAAATTAGATTAGCTGATTGGTCCATTTCACGATTAGGGAAATAATCATACAGAAAGTTTGGGGCATTTTGGTTTTACCTTATTAAGTAATTGTTATCAGGTAATAATTGTTAATTTTGAAGTTTAACTTAATATAATGTCATTTTAACAGAACATCAACGATTTTTGTAATACCTATCTGTTTTAAAAAACTAAAGTGTTCTCAAATACTTGAGTTTAAATATTTTAAATAGTTTGTTTTCTTTATTCTTTGTATTTTTTTTGCTTCCGACGACGGGAAGAGATAAACTTTCCGATACGTTAAGCATTTTTTTGTTCGATAGGCAAATTTGTATATCGGTAAACCTAACTTCTGACAAGTAGTTTCCGTTTGGATTAAAAATAACTATTTTATTTTGTAGATTTTCTTGCAGTGGCGAGATGAATCCGCCACATAGGTATAGACATTTTTTAAAACAAAATATTTGTAAAATATACTAAACTAGCTCGCCTGGCTAACTTCGTACCTTCTAATAATGAAGTGAGAGTTTCTTTGTGTAAATCTTGTGGTACAGATGACTGATAGACCAAATGATCTGGAATGATTGATATTTGAAAAGCTTTCTAGATTTGAATATGCTATTTAATTTTTTTTCTACTCTATAATATCTGATATATCACTGATTAGCAGTGGACATCAATGAGCTATAATCGTGCTCGACGCACAGTGGTTCAGATTGCCAAAAAGTGGCGCATAGGATATTTTTAATTTTATTACAAATTCTAGACTTATTAGGTTTAATGGCGGATTTATTTACATGACAAAAATAGTCCAAGGAATAAACAAAATACATTTCAGACTATATTTGTTTAGTATAAAAATATTAAAAAAGGGGGATTTTCTATGAATTTCATTCAAAAATTAATTCTTTCTTAGCCTTTAAAACCTCATGATAGGAAGGATATATATTTGCTTCTAAAATTGAAAAATTTTATTTTAATAGTAATAAGAATATGCGGAAAAAAAATATTTACTTTTCCACTGAGCCGCTAAGCGCATGTTCTGATACTGTGCTTTTGCCTGCTTCCCATTAATCAGAAAGAAAGCCACAGCTTCTTCAGGGGTAAATGTTTTAGGCATTTCCTGATGAAAAGTGGCGACTACTTTCTCTGGAAATTCAAACCTTAGTTGGACTGCTTTTGCCGTCTCATTTTTATGTTCCTTCCTTAAATTAGAAACTGTAGCATATGCCAGAACTTCAGAGGTGTAAGAATCTGTAATTCCTAGAAATAAATTGATTTTTAATCTTTGCCATTAATTAAAAGCAATAATGCAATATTTGCAGCATTATGTAAATAAAAAAACATGTTTTTTTCTGTAAGGTATTATAAATTAATTCCTTGGCAATATATACCTTTGGTCTCTTTATTTTTTTGGCCTTGGACAATTCTGAAAAAAAAATTCTTCTTGAAGGGCTAGGGTTATCAAAAGATTGATTCTCTTCCATTTGAAGTAAATTTTTATTCAGCCAGAGACAATTGTTAGAAATAAAACTACTCCAAGTATAATTACATTTCCTCCACTTTTCTGACCATTTATAAACAAAATTTTCAATTTGATTTTTTTCGATAATATGTTAGGAATATTATTATCACACAAAAATGAAATAATTTCATATATAATATCATATAATTATTATTATAATATAATAATAATTAAAACCCATTTTCAAAAACCTCTCACATATTGATCTGCGGCTTATTGTTCCTAAAAATAAAAGGAATAGAGTACGGGAGGAACATGTGAGTCTCTATAGTCACACTATTACCACTCCAGAGTTACTCAAAAAATACTAATATAATTAAGAAATTATCCATGGAACAAAAATCAGACTACTGGTCAATTTAAAATTCTAATTTAAATATCATCTACCTCGGGGTCTCTTGGGGTAAGATACTTATGGTAAATTAAACTTGGTATAATACCTTTTAAAAATTATATAATACAGAAGCGGAGATCTGCGGAGTTCTAAAGATACGCAATTTCAAAGTTTAATTTTTTTCAAAAAAAAACGCTCTACTATGTTTGTGGTAACAACTCGCTTCATAAAAAAAATATTTAAGTTAATAAAATTCTCTTAAAAAGTACTTACCTTGGTCTTCAAAATCCATTATAATTTAATTTATTTCCAAGTCTCTGAACTAAGAACCAAAATATATTAGCAACACTAAATCATTATCAGCAAATAACTGATATATTTAAACTACAAAATCTAACGAAACGAACATTCCTGTACGTTTTTTATAACAATTATAAAGTGGATCGTGATAAATTTGAATAAATGGATCCATCATCTGTTGAAATTAATATCATGGTTGAAATTTTCGAAATTTTTTTCTTGACCCCTATGCGGCGATTTTTTTGAATCTGAACCAGTGTGCGACGTAACCTCTGTTAGTTGCGGAAAATGGTGGAGGATGAGTTCCAAATCTAATAAATATTCTGTATAATTTTTTGTGTGATTTTTTGGGATATTTTAATAGTTATTTTGCTCTCGAGGCGAAGACGAATCCAACAAATTACTAATCAATAAAATCGGTCCATCCATTCTTGTCTTATATGGTATAACTAACCCGAATTTGATTTTTTAGATATATTTACAACGGCTACAGTTAGGCGTATAAATTAATGATGAGAACCTCGTAAAGTAATAGAATTTCTCAATCAATTTAACAAATTATATATTTCTATTTAGTATGTAATAACAATATTTAATTTTATTTCAACGCAAACATTAGATATTATAAAGGATTAATATATTCTACGATAAGAATGACTGACATTCTATGGTTATTGCTGTGTTTCCTCATCGCTCTATGAGTGTTTGACATATGTTTTGCCATCCATTTGTACAGCAGGTCCCACGAACGACCCATCAATATTCTCTTGTACCTCCATACCATGGGCAGGGGGGTGGAGTGTTCGGTATACTGGGCCTAAAATAAACTTATCTAAAAAAGAAAATCAAAGCTTTTTCTGTTGTAGAACTAGAAACATCACAAAAGAAGTTACTGAAAGTTACATAGTTATTACTAGTTATTAAGCCTGGCAACGCAGTTCTTTCACTACAAAAAGTTATGAGATCTCATACAAAACCAGTTCCCAAGTCAGTTCTTTTAGTTAATGTATAATATGGAAGCACATATTCAACAACTACTTTAATCAAATAACGGATACGTATTTATAGTGACCGTATATAGTTCTTATTTGTATAATAATTATATTGACTTGACAGTTGGACGGCAACAAATTTTACTAATTAAATTACTTTAATAATCCTAATACTTTATTCTTAAGTACACTATTGCTCCGGTCAAATTAAACATTTCAATCTACCAAAATTCCGACAAAGCTGAATTTTGGTAGAGACCTTGGGTTAGCCATTATAAAGTAAAAGAAAAAAGTCACCATCGATTCCACTTCTTCTTAAAAAGTTATTCAACGTCAAATGTAAAAAATGTTTGGTTTTTTGGATTTTTTTTTCGCAAACGGTAAGTTTCTTCAAAAAAATAGATCGGACCAAAATTGTAGATTATAAAATTATCTACAATAATGTTTTTACAGTTTTTTCCCTAAGAATTACCACTTCTGAGATCTTTCGATTCAAAATGTCGATCGAGTTATGATGTATATGTTACGGGTAATAAGCGAATTTACCTAATTCGCGAATTAACCGGTTAAAATGCGAATTAACTATCACAGTCGGTTAAAGCTAAAAGAAACAAATATTTTTTTAAAAATGTTCGCAAATTATCCGGTTAGAACGCCAATTATACAATATGACTGGTTATATATGTGAACACTTGGCTATTTCGCGAATTAGCCGGATAATATGTTAAGCGAACAATTAATATCACATTCATAGGCGTGTGCAAGAAATGAGTGGCCGTTTTATTACATACACTTTTATTTACAAAAAAATACAAATACCATTTACTCTATGAAGGGGAAGGACCAGTGGTGCACCGAATATACAAAATATATCCAGTATGGTTGAGGCATTGAGGCCACTTCATTAGCTGTTTTCGATTTTAGTCTCAATTGTACAAAGTTAATTGTTTAGTTAAGTAGTTCTGATAGACTAATATGAATTTATACGGGCCATCAGGATTCGACTGCGTGTCGATTAAATCTACTTGACATCGACTGTTCATTTCAAAATGTTTTTCAACCACCAGTCTCTTTTTCATGCATTTTTGTTTCGTTAGACATGATGTGCATAAGCTAAGATAAATGGACACACTTTCTTGCATAATATTTTTATATTTTTTTAGCTCCACCACCATTCTATTGAGACCTCCAAATCTAATAGCTAAATGAGTTTCATGAATGATATTAAAAAGTCCTAAATTGTGACATAATATTCTTGTTCATTTAGTTTTAAATGAACGTGCTGATTCTCTCGCCAAAATTGGTGCAGGTTCGTTATTTGTGGGCCCAGAACCGACACTTAGCGTTCCAAAAAATCTCGTAAGAGACAGGCTCTGTGAATGGGTTAGGGATGCGACGCGATGGAACATGCCAAGAAAATCCTAGCAGGGCCATCCAAACATAGAACAGGAGAACTCCTAAAGGCCGTAGGAATAGAGTACGTACACTCACTGCAGTGTACACGGGCCACTGCCGGCTCAGATCCCACCTACAGAAGATGGGACTGGTGGAAGACGCCGAATGCCGACTCTGTATGAAGGATGACGAAACAATGAAGCACGTTATACGTTTTGTGTAACAGGACCATTGATATGTTTGGCAAACCCATGCTAGACCTATCAGACCTAGGAGACATAACGGCCTATGTTAAAAGGCTGGGTCTTGAGGGTGAACTTTAACACTTTTTATATTAAAGAGCTTGTAGAAACTGAGCCACAATAGGCCCTCGCGGCCGCAGTGGAGGGTCCCATGGGACCCACTCTTAGTCAAATACAAATACAAATCCATATAGACAAAGGACGTATCCTTTGTCTATATGGATTTGTATTTGTATTTGACTAAGAGTGGGTCCGATTAAACGATTAGTATCGTAATACTAATCGTTTGGTTTGGTTTGGTTGGTTCGCGTTTTAACCTGTTTGCGGTGGATAATACGCGAAACTAAGACAGATTCCCATCGTTTTTAGATAATCCGTGTGTTAACCGCTTAATTCGCGAATTAGCTAATTTCGCGTATTATCCTTAACATATACATTATACACACACTTCCACGCCACTTATTAAGTAGTATATTCGTTAAAGTTTTTGACGGAGTTTTATGAGACAATCTTCTCATTATTTGATTGTGGTGGACATGGTATATTTATAGCTAATTTAAATTAGTAGTTAAGTTTTCATACTCATACCTAAAAAATGACCAGCTGTTTCTATAATATTGGGCACACGGTCTTGAGCAATATGTCCTCCGGGCATCTGAGATGATATGACACTACCATCAGGACCAGTAATTTGGGCCTGGGCACTGGGGCCTTCGATCTCTGTTTTTGGCACTACGGCACCATCCGCCAAAAACAGCCACGAAGAAAATATAACTAAAATCTGATTAAGCACATTTGCATCAATTAATTATTCTAAATATTGACAAGTGTTGTTGGAACAAATATTTTTTGAATGTATTTTAAATTTTTGTTTTTCAGAGAAAAAAACAAATTTGCTGTTTTATTATATGACATAAATCGAGATTGATTAACGTATATTCAATTAGTTTCGGTGGCTTCCTGTTTCACGGGAAATGTATGTTTTTTCTTTATTTCATAGAAAATGATATTCTTTTAGACAGAGAGCTGGCTACACAAAAAAACCTTATCATCGTTACATGTTACATGGCTAATTTTTCTTGTGAAGTATCCTTTTGTGGTGCCATTATGAAATAGTCATGTCTGCCAGCGCCATCCCGGGGCTTAAAGCGGGGGTGGCCTATCGAAAGGGTGAAATTTTGACTCTAAAAATATTATAAGGTACACGAGTTATAATTGCGAAAATAGCTTTTATGTATTATTAAGAAACGTGGAAAATTGTTAGCAGACATTTTTCTCGTGGCTAAAATGCCGACAGACAACGCGAAAGAGGGCATGAAATTTTGAGAAACCCCGTCGAGAGTGCCGTTTGGTGGAATGTCATGTTTATATGTTTAAAAAGCCGCATGCAAAAGGTCAGACAAAAAAATCGTGGGTTAATCAGCGGTAGACAGTTAACAGAAGCCCGATATTACTCTACAGTGTGAGTCTTGAGTAAGTGCAAATATTTTCAGAGCTGGTAGATCTCTATAAAAGAAACATACTTTCTCTTTACCGTTTTCCAAACAAGTCTAAAATAACCGAGTTATTCAAGTTTGGAAATTTAAAAAGAAATTGATTTATTTTTAAACAATTTTGCGAGCTACCTGTTTTTTCTGTATTTGCATCCATGCTTTTAGTATCATAGCCGTACACATATAAAACTGTAAGCATGGTAGGTTAAGAAATAATTATACCGTGGGTAAATTTGCGGTGAACAGGCAGTTCTAAAAAGTTTGCTAAAATATACAGGGAAATTTAAAAAAATGCACGATTTTCAACATCTTTTTTTGTGAAAAAGACTCATAGACGTGTTTCTGGGGTCGAAATATATCACCCCTAAAAATATTTGCACTTTAAGACGCACCTTGTATAAGCGTTTTCCTGAAACGCTCCCCGCGTTGTCAATTGAAACATAATACATGAAGTCTACAAAAAATTTACGGTTTAATTATGGACTCATAGGAAGACTCAGATACAATATAAATAGGACGAGTCAGATACAAATAGTGAGGCAGAATGTAAAATATGTATGATATGAAATGATATCTGTTATTGAAATCATAAAAAATATATTTATAATATAATCGTATATATGATTTAGCTATACTGATTTAGCCACGATCTTTGTGTCTGCCCTTTTGTATACGGCTTTTAAAATAAATAAATGACATTCCACCAATCGGCCAATCGACCAATGATTTTTTTTCAAAATTTTATGCCTCTTTCGCGTTGCCTGCCGGCATTTTAGCGACAAGAAAAATGTCTGCCAATAATTTGCCAAGTTTCTGAATAATAAATAAAAGCTATTTTCGCAATTATAACTCATGTACCTTATAATATTTTTAGTGTCAAAATTTCATCCTTTCGATTGACCGCCGCCGCTTTAAGCCCCGGGATGGCGCTGGCAGACATGACTATTTCATAATGGCTACACAAAAGGATACTTCACAAGAAAAATTAGCCTTTTAGACTATTTATAGAGTGGCGTATCTTATGTCAACGAATACAACAACTGAATATCAATGTTTGACATTTTCACTTAAAAAATATAGCATTTTAAATTTCAATCTAGAGTGCCATGGCGATAAATGTAACGACTATTTGTACCAAATGATTCTATAGACATTCTTTATTTAACTAAATGATTCATAAAAAAATACTTTTTTCTAATATACCAATGAGCCACTTTCGTGCTAAAGGAAAAAAATAAGTTTTGATTAAAAATACGGTTTGGTCATTTTTTGGTTTGGTTAGGAAAAAAGACACGAAAAACATTAGACGATCAAATCTATTTTCCCAAAGATCCATTAATAAGTTAAAGCCATTAATAAATATAAGTTAAAACCATTAATAAAAATTGATCGAGAAATGATTTTAACACAGACATGGTACTCTAGATTGAAATTTAAAATACTTTTTTTTAACTGATAATTTCAAAAGTTGACATATGATATGTAATTCTATTCAGAATATCATTTTCTATTAAATAATGTAAAAAAATACTGGGGGTACCATTTAAAAATCAAAAATGTCTGAAATAGGAAGTGACCACAACTAACTGAATACGTCAATCAATGTCCCCATTGATGTCATAACATACCAAATCTCGTTTTTTATCTAAAAAAAAAATTAAAGAATTATAGAGGTGAGTCACTTTTGAAAAAGACCCGGTATAATAATTATATTAAAATTTCAAATATTATGAATTAATAAATTTGTTTTCGTGTAAATTTTCTGGCTTTAAGATTATGATTCTTTCTAGAGTTATCCTCTAAACTTTTAATTTCTTTAAATTATTATTATTTTAAAATTGTCATAGAGACCCATAGGCATACTTTAAATAGCTCAATATGACTATAGAAATATTGTTCTAAGATTTTTTGGGATTGGTGTTCTTTTCAGTTACATATTTTATATTTTTTTTCTCTCAAACCATAAAACAAGAAAGTTATCGTGTTACAGACGGGCAAATAACTCATTTTGAGTGAAATTAAAAAAACTTTTTTTTGCCGATCTTAATAGCCTACCATACCTATTGGTATGATCGGCTAAAAATAAAAATGTAAATATATATATACTTATGACAGATCGATGTAACTGTGGCAGTAATATTAGTGTTTTATTTTGCTCTGTAGTCAATAGGTATCTAAAAAGATTAGATTAAATTAAGTAAATATCAATCAAAATTTGAATTAAAATTAGCGAATTCATTAACAAATTTTAAATAAATGTGTAGATAGGTACATAATTTGTCAAAATACAAAACATACATTGAAATACGGTTAGTTCTTTTCGCATTATATCTGAGAATAAAATCACTACTTTTTTTAAAATCATTCACTGCTTTGCTCTTGTTTTGAACCACGAAAATTGCATTAGTATATGATAATGTTTATTTGAAAATCAAACTCTTTTTTTCGTTTTACATAAACCATGACTAACAACTCGATCCTCAATCTTGGTACCACCGGAGATCAAATCATAGACGATCAAATGCTGTGGTGCCGCCGGGTTCTCAAAATCAGGCAGGTACACACGCCCACGCGCATTCAATGCCTCTGGGGTATATTTCCATAGATATTTATTTCTATAGATTTTACTTTAATAAGTATAAAAATTCTAATCTATTCTAATTTCCCATAAAAATTGGTAATCTGTCATTATACACAGCACGCTTGATCATAAATTTGTTTTGACCATATTGTATTTTTAATTCTTTATAACCTATTCTGTTGATCGCTGGTAAATTTGTAAACATCTATAATACAAAAGTGTATGTGTATTGACTGTATTGATAGATATGTATACAAGATATACAGAGTCCGGCAATAGTGCGTCGAGCAACTGTAGCTCATAGAATAAAAAACTTGGTAATTTAGTTTAAGTGCAGACCTAAAGTATGAATCTGATAGAGGAAGTAGGAGAAGCTGATAATGTATTTCACGAAAATATTTTAATTTCTATAGGGTGGCTCAAAAAAGTGTGAGTCGATCGGGATGATTTTTTTAAATGGAACACCCTGTATATTATTGCATTTTTTTTGGCTTCACTAAGAAATGAGTAAATATAAATTTCTATAGTTTCAAAGATATTAATAAATAAATAAAAAATATATATTTTTCAACCTTTCTTAAAAAATTATTAAAATTACAAGAACTGTCCTGAAATCAAAACTATATTAGGTATTAGACAGTTAAAGCAAGGCACAATACGTATACGTATCTCTCGACACGTAACGCAGAAACCTACGTTACGTCTGCCGTTGCGTTGTCGTGTAAACAAGAGTTAAAGCAAGTATTTTGACGTAGGTAATGCAAATGGTACATTTGTAATTCTAAATTATTTTGTGAAACAATTTATTTAATTTTAAAACTGAAAATATGGATATCTATTTATTCCATTGATTCCACATTAAATTTATAAAAGTTCGAAAAATGAAGAAATTTATAAATGGAAATTATTCTATTACAGAGTCCTTACAACTTAAAATGCTCTTAGTAATAAAACATATTGGAAAACAGACACAGTTTTATGATTATTTATTAGATTCCATCTTATAGAATCCTCATATGGATTTTGGCTAAGAACTAGCATTTAATTAAATAGATTCCAAAATGAGTTTTTTATGATGCTTGCTTAATATTTCCATACTAATTTATTGTAATAAAATAGGCCCAGTTCTGTTACACTGGCCCCAAAATTTATGAAATAACTTAATTACTAGTTTACCTAATTACTTGTTCTTGAATTTGTACGTTCGGCATCATTCGGGTGAAAATCGAAACTCCTTCGGCTCGATACGTTTGCGTTTTGTGCGTACGTAAAGGCACGTAAAGATACGTATCACGTATCCGTAAACGCAAGTGAATTTCTCACTGCGCAAGCGTACATGTCAAACGATACGTTTACGTCTATATCTTTGGCAGTGCTTTAACTGTCTATTTACTTTAGATGGTTTGTAGTGGCTATAATATAGTTGTTGCTATAAATATAGTTGTTGTTATAAATAATATGGTTGTTGTTGCTATAAATATAGTAATCGTAAATCATACAGGATGTTCAAAATTCTACGCCAAACTTTCTAAAATACAAAATAATTTTTTTTTCAACACAATCCAAACACTCTTTTGGATTTTTAGAAAAGAATCAACCGTATTTTCATGTTTTTTTTTTTAGTTTTCTCTAAAATGTTATAAAAATTGGAAAAGTATAAATGGGATTAACCATTTTAGAACAAGCAATTTTTTTAATAAAG